TGATCCTCTCGCGCTTGCTGAGCTTGCGCTGCTTGGTGGTTGGGAACCTCTAGATGACATAATGATGCAGATCGCGTGGAGTGGAGTGTAGATAGAGAACGAGGAAAAAAAAGAGGTTTTTTTAAAAAAAAATTAAAATGAAATAATTTTTTTTTTTAGTATTTCTGTTTGATTTCGAATTTATCGGTTAGGTTTACTACTTACAATATCCTTGAGCTCCTTGAACTTGATGTTCTTGTCCTGAGCCAACAGGATGAGCGTTTTGGTTATCTAAAGTTGGATCGAATAGATGTTAGAAGAAAAAGAAAGAAAGAAAAAAAATGATATTATTAGTTGGTATTCTAGTATTCGGAATTAGAGATAGATTTTGCTGATGGTGAACAAAAAGGAAAAAAATATTTTAATCCGTACTATTATTGTTGATGACCGGGTTTTCTGGTGCAGGTCCTTCGGCTCAAACTAGCTCTCGAGTGGTATCGTCTGAACCGGGAGAATCTATCTCGGCAACTAGAGGATTGGCAGCTGGGGTCGTGGTAGTAGAATCGACTATAATCGGTTCTTGACTCGTGTTGCCGTACGCGTCTTCAAATTCTAGTACGGAACCGTCGTAGTTAGGTTGATCTGGTAAAGCTGGGGTAGATTGATGCGTACGATTTGCCTCAGCTTGTTGCTGTTGAGGTGTACCGTGATTGGCTAGGTCTAAGGAGTTAAATAGGTGTGGGAAAGACACTACAGTAGTTGGTACCGAAGATGAGAAAAGGAAGAAAGAGAAGACAAAACCAAAAATTTAGCGATGGGGAAGTAAACAAAAAGGGACAAAAGGGAGAGAAAGAAGAAAAAAAAATATAGAATCAGTAATCTATGGTTCTGATGCTGGATGAGTATAGTTAGAGATGAATGAATTAATGATGTTACTTTTAATTTTATAAATAACTTTAACAAGGTTAAAGAGTTTTCTGAAGTTGATCGATTCGATGAAGGAAGGATAACAATTTGATTTGTTCTCAAATGGATTGTTTGAAGATGGATTGTTCTCGAGGATAGGAGCCTTCTTATACTCTCGGACTCGTCTACTGGTTCTGTTTCTTGTACAGATTTGTTCTATGATCACTAATCAAATTGGTATAGGTTAGTTTTTCTCTTCTCTCTCTCTCTCTTATATTACTTGCTGACTCACTTGTTGTATTACTTTTGTTGTGTTCGTTACTAGGTGATGATTGGTTGAGGTTTGCCTGCGGTGGTAAGTAGGATCGAACGTTATTGGTTTCTTTACCGGATCAATTCTGTAAGTAATTTAGATCTTCTTATTCGGTTTCGCTTCGTTTTGAATTGAATCTCTCTAGGTGGAATCAGAGAAGGAGGAATGGAATGTAGGGATTTGGAAATGATAGGTAAGGAAGGAATCTGAGATTATTTGTGGCTTTTATTGGACTTACTGTTACTCTGTGATTTGTTTGGTGGCTTTCCAATCGGCGAATTTTTTGATTTCTGATTTTGATTCGATTTCCTTTGGTGATTCTTCCTCTTTTCTTATTTCGATTCACTCGTCCACTTTAATATCCTGAAATCGATAGTCCTTTTCGGTTCTCTGATTATGAATGTTTCTAAAGGAATATGTTCCTTTTCTTTAATGATTTTCAAAATTCAATGTCTTCTGTATATGTATATCTCGTTGGGGTCCTTGAATTTGTTATATGTATGTGTAACTATGGTACTCGACTCGTCGTTTCTGTAGTGTTATTTCAGGGCTTTTTAGCTTTTCAAGAATTACTCGTAATACCTTTCTTCAGTTTGTCACTCAAGGTTATGTAATAAAATAACTACAACTGCTTGAAATCTCCTGGACTGAAAAAAAAAATGTTCTTTTTAGAGGGTTGCTTAATTTCTAAGTTTTTAAAGTAATATGGTGTTGTTATTGAGTGAGGTGACTGATGATTTAAATCACAATGCTCAATTTATTCTTGTTTTGATATGTATTACTTGATAATTTGTATCAAGATGTGGTTTTTATGAGTTGAGTAGTGTGATTGGTGGTTAATTACACTTGATTTCAATTCTGATGGTTCTTACACTGTTTGTCTAGAGGTATGAATTCTTACTTTGGTAAAAAGTTGAGGTTTGAATTGGGTTTCAACACGATGAGGCCCCCAAATGTGAGGGCTGGGTGCTCTTTGTAGGAGTACTCAGTGCTCACTGAAGGGTAGAATGGTAGGTTTATTAAATTTAACTTCTTTATTTCAACTATGTAGTAGTTACAAATTGAAGTAAAGAAGGAAAATTAAAGAGAAGAAAGGAACTGACTGTCTGTTTGGACAAATCCAGACAGACTTCAGTTAATTGACTCCTAAGAAGGAGATTCAGTAACTATAATATGATGTTTATTATAATATATGAAGGTTGGATCCTGGACCTTCCTTTAATCTTTTATAGTAACAGATCAAAGAGTGAGTTAGTTCACCAATCTGGTTGTCCTTAAAGTCACCAACTTGGGGTTATTCTTAAGGTCACCAGCCTGAAGTTCTTCTTAAGGTCACTAGCCTGGAGTTGTTGGAGGTCACTAGCCTTGATTGGGTTTCTACTTAGGGGAAGTAGAGGATCCAGAGGGAAATGAAGAATTGTATTACCTACTTTTAATCAGGAATCTGATTAAAGTTGATGAAGCTTATCACTAGTCTTATTTGTATAAGACTCTTGATATTTTACTTCAGTGAACTTTAATTGTTCTTTAAAAGTAGTGGGTAATAATTGCTTGGGGGATTCTCTGAAGGCTGAGAGAGGAGGGGTTTATATACTCTCCTCTCCAAACCTAACTGTAGTGACATTTGTTATTATCACTACATTGGTTCAGGGTTAGTTATTAACATGTAGTCATTATTGTTACTAGTAATGCTTAATTACATATACTTCTTGTGTGTGGTATGTAATATAAGCATTTAACTCTTGACACTGAGTTATGAGGTGTAAATGGCGTTTTGTTACATATTACATGTTGTTTTACAGGTTCATGTATATGTAATAAAGGTTTTGATACATTGTATTACATGTTACATACAGTCTATGCTCAGTATGTAACATGTAGTTAATCTTATACATATGTTTTTTACTGTTACAGGTTAGTTTTGGGTACATGTATATGTACTCAGGGCTGACACTTGGCGCTCTGTGATCCGTCTGGGGGATGCTTCAGAGACTTAGCTAAGGTAATACTCAGTTCAGCTCAGCCCCTAAGCTATACATTAGTGGCATTCCTTGGAACTTATTGAACCAGGGAATGCCGCTCAGGATCAGCCCTTCCTCAGACTTCTTTGCTCAGGAATACAGGCTGAGGAAGGCTTAGTTTGTCTGCTCAGTTCCGGATGATCACGTAATCAGCTGACAAGCAGAAAGAAAAGGGAAACAAATTGGAAACAAATAGAAAACAAATGGGAACAAAACAGGATCATTTCAACACTCACATAGTTGTGAGCATCAATTTTTGCCCCTGTGATAGATCCATCAGTTGATTGTAGGAGCAGAGAGGTCTAAGAACAGAGAGACTTACGTATCTTGAAATTGTTTCTGTTTCATAGCTCTTAGAGATTCGTTCAAAGAAGCATCAGGAGCAAACAACTCCAAAAGTAGGTCGCTTTTAGAAGCACTCACAAAAGCTTTAGACGGCAGAGACGGCCCATCGGCAAGAAGATTGATTGACCAATTCAATTCATCCTTCAGTTCCATGGTATCAATGGAATACGATAACCCTACGCCGTCAAATGTGAGAAATGTACCGAAAGTTCCTAAGCAGTCGACTAATTCAGCCTTACAAGACTCAAGTAGACTCCTAGCGGCTATCTCAGGATCTGATCAAGTTAGCAATAACATACCTAGAGAAAATGAGATTGATGAGAGGAAAGCCAAGTTGAGAGGTGGAGACAAGAAGAGAGAAAATCCTTCTGATAGTTCACCATCAAGCGATTCAGAGGCGCCTAAGCCTAGGAAGAAGTCAAAGAAGAAGTGTGGAAAGAAGAGAGGAGGTCCGAGTGACGAGTCATCCTCCAGCGACTCTGATGCCTCTAAGGCTCAGAGGAAGAAAAAGAGACGCTCAAAATCCAAAAAGAAACGGTCATCTAGCCCATCAGAGGATCTGTCAGAATCAGACTCAGACAAGTCATCCTCTTCAGAAATCTCGAGTTCAGACAAATCGGAAATCGCCAAGAAAGCGGAACTTGATTACAATTTGACCGATTTCGATTCTGCTGATTTACCGGATCTACCCAGGAAGTGGGACAAAGGGTTCAAACGCTTAAGATCATATGTCCCTTTATCAGTTTTCAAAAAGTCATTCTTAGACACTTACAATGATGATGATGAAGAAGAGAAAGTCAAGGACAAGAGAGATAAGCAGAGAACGTCACAGAAGACTTTGGAAAGGCAAATTGCCTTTGGAGATTTTGTAGAGATGTGTGATTTAGAGGAACATTACGCTCGAGAGATTTATCAGTTAGATAGCTATGCAGATTATATCGTGAAGCATAAGAAAATCGTATATGAACTGAAGAAGAAGTACCTTTGCTGGATGGTTGGCTTAAGATATCATTTGGCTGTCAGAACGGTGATCTTCCGTAGGAGGAAAATCATCAAGACAAAGGTGAACGGTAAAACTGTTTACAAAGACAAGATTCGACTACCAAACGGCCTTCAACCAAAGGTAGAGGCAGATGCCAAGTTCTTTGCGGATCATGCGGGTGATTTACAGTTTGAAGACAATCCGTACGCCGTAGGAGGACCGAAATATGGCTTCAGTTTTACTACTGGTAGACAGAAGGTAGAGCCTGCGTCAACCAAAGTAGTAGAAAAGTCGAGTGAAAGATTGAATGATGGAACGTCCTCAAACTTCCGAGGGAAGAGAGGAGGCTTTAAGAAACCATATGTCAAAAAGAATAACTATTTCACCAATAAAGCAGGTGAGTAAATCTCTTGTTGATGCTAATGGTGGAGATGGGTAGTTGACTCACTTATGCATGTGTTGGTTTTTAGATAATCAAGCAGGAACGGATGGTGTAGCTCCGGTAGCATCGACGTCCTATAAGCCAAATTATTATCAAAACAAAGGAGTCAAATACACCCCGAAGGCGGTTGTTAGAGATGAGAATCCTACCACGTAAGCAAAAGATGAAAAAAAAAGAGAAACCCTAAGGAGATACTGACTGGCTCAATCTTTCTTTGAAAATCCTAATTCCGATGAAATCCAAATTTGGGTTATGGGTGAATGGGATGCGTTGGGTTGCGCTTCGTGGGGGGGAAATTTTTGTACCACTTTTTGTACTAGTTAGTTCTTAGAATTTGTGGTTGAGAGAGCGGTGCATAGAAATCCAAAATTGAGTGCATGAAATGCGATCTGTTTACAGCTGTCTTTAGTCTTGAGACCAAAACAATTCCAACAGAGTGCCAACCTTCCGGAACGGGAGATGTTGGGTTGAGTGATCTAGAAGAAGAAGGAGATGAAGAGTCAAGCGATTCAGCAGGGGAAGTATCGGAGGAGGAGAATGAGAGAGAAAGGAAGAAAATCCCCTTGCCTTTGAACCAAAGAAAGATCTTCACGATACCAGTTACCAATACGTGGCCAGCACCAGTTTCATGTAAGATGGTAGTGAAAGAGTGGATAGCCTTGATGAAAGCTGTTGGACTAGACGATGACATCCCTTATATAGTAGACGGTTTCAAAAACGGGTTTTGTTTGGGTATACCGCAACATGATTTACCAGGAATGAGATGGTACACCCCAGAGAATCATAAGTCGTCACTAGAAGCAAGACCACAAATTGAAGCAACGTTAGAGAAGGAATGGCGAGCCGGTAGGATAGCAGGCCCTTTTACTCACAAGGATTTGTACGCTAGGATCGGGTTCTTCAGATCAAACCCCATGGGGAGCGCGATCAACAGCAATGGTTCAATAAGGATGGTGAACAATTTGTCGTTCCCTAGAAATGACGCGTCGTTACCGTTAGTAAACTCTTTTGTCAATAAACTCAACTATGGTACATATTGGGATGATTTTAATAAGGTGGCTAGATTCTTTCAAGATAACCAAGGAGAGTGGGATGTAGCCATTTTTGACTGGCAGAAGGCGTATAGCAACGCTGGACTGGTTGCGCTGCGGCAACGCGCAGCGGAACGCTGCGCAACCTAAATTTGGACGCTGCATGGCGTTGCGCTGCATTCAGGCACCGGTGCGCTGCCCGCTGCTGATTCCAGGCGTGCCATGGGTCCGCTGCGTTGCCAAGCGGTGCAGTGCAGAACCCGTTGCACACATCGGTGCTCAGGCGCTGCACACCGTCGCGCTGCATTGCGCTGCACGCACTAATGCCGGTACGCTGCGGTCCCGATGCCCGGTCCTAGTGTCGGCCTGTGGGGTTTTTGCTGCCAGCCCGAGCCCAAAGGACTGTAGGTCTCAGGTCTTCCATACTTTGGAAACCGTATCATCCAACATCCCAAACCACATCACCACCTACGACTACCATACCACCAACATGACTTGATCCAGATCCAGCTCAGCACCAACCCGACCTCAGTCTCCTTCAACTGAAGAGACTGATGTCAATCCACCAGTTCCCGCTACTCCGCGTCGATCCAGCCGACCACCGGTTGTCCGTAGAGACACCAACATGTGTGCCCCATTGCCTGATAGCCGCCGTGCACTGCCGACTCGGAACCCTATCTGTACACCCAAAAGCAACACGACTTCAGTTGTATCAAGTCCATCGACTGTGCGTGCTTCCAAGACTAACAAACGTAAGCGACTTGGACCAGAAGCTGAAAAAGGACAACAAGAACCATCCGTAAGTTCAGTCGCTAATTGTCCACTTCCTGTCAACCGTATCTCTGTTCACTAGTTCTACAATGATGTGTTTGTTTAATACATTATGAATCTATAAAATTTTGGTTCCAGTCTGATGCAACAATATCCAAGGAGATGGAAGTCAATCTTGCTCAGGACTCTGATAACGAAGTCAGCCAAGAAGACCGCGCAAAAAAACTCAAGGCTACTATGACTGATGAGGACCAAGTTGAACTACTGGCCTATTATGATAAGCCATTGCATGGAAAAGAAGATGTAAGTTTATAATCAATATGTCTACCATCAGGTGTACGTAGTGTAACTCATACGTTCTGCCTTTTTTTCTTTAGAATGTCGATGGCCCACCTCTCTCTTACCCTTGCCGATTCTGTTTCAGATTGGTTCGTGTCAGTAAGGACAACTTAACCAGTAATCTTAAGGTCCATCGAGATGGTGTACACACCGGTCGAGTTCGGAAACCCTGTAAAGGACGAAATGCAGCATTCAAGTCCGGTATGAAACTTCCTCCAACAGCCAAAGAGGCAGCTGAAGCAAAGCAATCATCAGCTCAACCGGTCATCAAGTCTTTCTTTGGCAATCCAGCTCCTATCTTCAACAACCGAGTCCTTAACCAGATCCTTTGTCTGTGGATTCTCAGGCATGCACAACCTTGGATTTGAGTAGAAGATGCTTTACTCAGAGCAGCCTTCTCGTACTGCCACAAGGAATGCAAGATATTTGGTAGAAAGTGGATGGCAAATGAAGCCAAAACAATATACATGTCTCTTCAACAGACTGTTATCAAAGAACTCTCGGTTAGTAGTTTATTTAATTTGTTTCTTTATTCATTATTGGCTCAAGTTGTAAGTTGATGAACAATACTTGTAGAATATTCCGGGTAAGTTTACCCTTGTTCACGACGTCTGGACATCAAAAGGCAACATACACGGTTTCATCGGGGCCACTGTCTTCTACGTCAACGAAAACTGGGAGTTTGTCGAACACCATCTGGCTCTCAAACTTGTAGCATGGCACCATCAAGGTCGGTTTTTGGCGGCCCCAACTGTCAATTACTTAATTAAACATGGTCTTCATGTCAAGATAAGTTTCCTTTTGATCGTCATGAATTACTTGGTGAAATACTAACACATTTTCTATTTTCTTGTATGCACATGCTCGCCCAAACTACGGACTCAGCCTCTTCAAATGTGACGATGGCGAAGGAGATGCACTCTCAGCTCAGCCAGAAGGACACGACAGGAAAGTACAGCTGGACTCCTAAGTTTCATGTCAAGTGCTTTTGCCACAAGCTACAGCTTGTGGTCAATGCTGGCCTTTCACAGCTTGGTATGACTCCGAAGCCCCCTTCTCGTCTTAGAGAGACCCTTCTGGGGGTTTTTCCAGTCACTGGTACTCTCCCAACCATCGATGAGGAGTGTGAAGACGAAGTGGCGATAGTGATTGATGATACTGAATCAGTCGATTCTGAAATACTAACTTTGGCTCCATCGAATGCGGTTGAAGATCATGACGAAGAAGAAATACCTGAGGAAGCCGCCGAAATCGAATATGACGCGGATGCTGAGGATGCACTAGATTTAGAAGATGCCAAGCTTGACCGGTTAGAAGATGAGGAGTTAGCTGCAATTGAGAATGAAGGAGATGCTTACTCAGCTGCAGACCGAGCTGCTGAGCTTACTACCAAACACAAGAACAAGCATCGAATACTGACCTTGATGACAAATGTGAGTACCTTTCTGATCCATACTCTTTAGATGTCAAACTAACATATACTTATTTTTATCTCATAGCTCGACTTTGTTATACGCCGTATAACTCGATCTAGCGCATGGCGAATGGTATTCAAGCAAGAGGCCAAGTGCCTTGGTTATACAGGACCAGGCCTCATTGCGGGTTACGGGATCCGATGGAATATCAAATATGAATCACGAGGTAAAGGAATTGGTGCAAAGGAAGTGAGTTGCTATTTAAATCTCTACTGATCAACCAAAGTCGAGTATAGTTCAAATGACTTCTTTTGATATGTTTCGTCATGTTTCCAGGTTATAGATGGGCTTCTTAAAGCTGACCTTGACAAGGTTAAAGGGAGCGGCTCTCGACGTTGTGCTAGTGGTAAACCTCGCGGATATTTTCATGAAATATATTTCTCGCCAAGCGACTGGGACGCTATTGAGGAAGTCAACTCTGAGCTCAAGGTGTGTAATCTTTGTAATCTTCAATAATTGATTTTAAACTTAGCGAGCATAATCTGACTGAAGATATTGTCTCAAGATCTTTGTAACTCTTACTAAGAAGATGGAAGGTAATATACCAAGCGGATGCATGGTCCTTGGCATGTACTACGACCTTGCTGCTCACTTGAAACGTCAAGCTAAGGTGGTTGATGAAGCTGTCTTGCCGATGATTCTCAAGATGCAAGAAAGGGTTGAAATTTACTACAAGGAGGCGCTCGAATGTGAAAGCTTGGTAATGGCATCTGTATTTCATCCTGGACTGCGCCTTCATTTTTTTGAGGGTGCATTAGGTAAAGATGACCCAATCACTATCAACACCCAACAACTACTTCGTTCCCACTTCAATACTAGAAAAGCAAAGCTCGAGGCCGAGAAGTTACAAGCTCAATCAATCGATATTTCTACATCAGAGCCTGACAGTACGGGCTTAGATAGCGCACCATCGGGTGCGTTTGCATTTGGGGCTGGTATCCAGTCCCAGGTAGTTGACGAGCTGGATAGGTACCTCAGCAACGTTGAATATGCTGATCCCAAGAAGATTGGGGATCCAAAAGAAATCCTTCTGTGGTGGAAGGTGAGTCACGTTTTTAGCCTTCTAATCGTTATTGTTGTTACTGACCTTTGGTTTTGTTTTAAAGGTTCATGCAGCCAGATACCCGGTGCTCTCCTCCCTCGCACGCGATTATCTCAGTATCACTGCGGCTTTGAGCGCAGTCGAGCGGCTTTTTTCAGCAGCAGCTGATGTTGCAAGTGCTGACCGGGGCAGCTTGGTACCTCGTACCATCGAGACTTCTGTAGGTGCTCGAATGTGGATTAGGCAGGGTGTTGAATTAGGTGATTCAATGGGGGCGGCAATGGATGTAGTTGGTGATTTGATAAAGGGTGCTTATGGGTGAAATAGTAGGAATAAATGGTAGTTAGTAAGGGTATATATGAAAACAAAGCCGATAGGCATTTTACGCCTCTTCCTAGTGCTCATTGCGCTGCACTGCTTGCAACATCAAGCAGCGCAGCAATTTCCCCTCTTTTTCACGCTGCTCTGATGTGTTGCTGTTGCAGAATTCTGCAACGGAAATTCTCCGCCTGTGTTGCGCTGCGCGCAACAAAATTTTTAGTTGCGCTGCGCTGCCCGGTTACAGAGAAACCAGCGTTCCGTCTGCAACGCGGCGCAGCGCAGCAGTCCAGCGTTGCGTACAGGCAACTGCCAGTACACCCGTGCCAGAGACGTTACCTGTGCATTATGGAATTCTACAACCGCATCTGGATAGATTTGGCGGTAGGTTTTGGAGGCGTAGCAAGCTGTGGAGTGTTCAGTGCACCGGCGCACATCTGGAAGCTGGTAATTGAAAGAATCTTGAAGATAACCTCTTTAGGTGGGTAGACGACAGTTTAATGTTGAGAAGGCAAGGCCATAGTGTCTTGTTGGACGACGTGACGAGCATCAGCAACGAAATGGGTATCGCGACAAACCCAGTAAAGAATCATGACTTTGCAAAAGAGCAAAAATTCGTGGGGTTCATCTGGAACGGGCATGATCACACGGTCAGACTCCCACAAGAAAAGTTAAGAGAAAGACTGCAATTAATTTTAGACTTACAAGATCATACAAAGAAGTGGGCGCTAAATAGTGTAGAGAGTATTGTGGGGAAATTGGTGCACACGGTGCACATTGTACCACATATGAAAGCTTATCTGAACTCTTTCTATAGCTGGATGAAGAGTTGGAAGAACAAAGCAGCGTTGAGACACACAACAGTCAGCGTGAAGGCGGATGTAGAGGAGTGGTACTGGGTCTTATCGAATTTCGACTCACATCAGATAATCCCGTCACCCAAAGCGACAGAGGTAGCTTGGGTAGGAGATGCATCATCATCCTTTGGCATCGGAGTCTTAATTGGAAAAGACTGGGCTTTTTTTGAACTAACACAGGGCTGGCAAACGCTTGGACTGTCAGAAGATAAGCGCACGATAGCGTGGGCTGAAACTGTAGCGATTCGGATGGGTTTGTTGGTCCTCCAGAAATTGAGGAAGATAGCTGGTGAGTAGCCTCCCAGCGATGAAGTGCTGTGCAGTTCTGACAGTCGGTGTGAAAACAGGCAAGAAGTTTTTAGTTTGGACAGACAATACCACGTCTCAGGCAGCTGTTAGAAAGAGGAAGTCGAAAGATAGCATGGTGAATCAAGAATGGAAAGAGATACAAAGGCTACTTACCGTGCTAGCTTGTGACATCCAGGCGAAACATGTTACATCAAAAGGAAACAATGCAGACGCTCTCTCGAGAGGCTATCTCGGAGATTTATTATGGTTCAGAGAGATATTAGTAGAAGTGCCGGCGGATCTACGACCTTTGTTGAAGCAAGTTTTCCCACCAAAGAAAGTTGCGAAGCCGAACAAAGATACCTAAAGAAGAGCTCGTGAGGTGCAGAATCGGGCGGAAAAGATGCCGAAAAGACTATTGGTCGGATCAAAACTTGAATTGAACTTAAAGAAAGCGACAAAACCCTTCAGGGCATTTAAGAAAGATGCCTTTGGATAAGATGACTCGGAGACTGACGAAGTAAAGAAGCACTACTTACGAGGAGCTTGGGGAGACGGAACTCTTAAGAGCTATAACTCAGGAGTTGTTAAACTTCATCGATTCGCAACCGTAAACAACATTGACAAGTCAGAGATCTTACCGATAACGCCGAGTGACCATTAATACTTATTCACTTTTCGTACTTGATCATTAATAAGTTTATTCTTTTTTTCCTCTCACTTCATTCACCTGGGGACTGTTTTGTCTTTTCTAGATTGTCTTGTTTTTACTTGTCATAATTGTCCACTTCTATTTTTATTACTTATGTTAACTTTATTACTTATACTAACTGTAACTACAATCATATGTCTCTATCTTCTTACCGCTCAGATAGTCTACAATAGTCATAACCGTCAGTGAGTGACTTAAGTTATAACTTAAGTCACTCTACTCGTGTGTGGGGGGGGCCTTTAGTCCCCGGGTTTGACCGTGGTAGGCTATCTGCGCGGTAGGGCGCAGGGGCGGGTGGGAGGAAAAAGAAAAACTTTTAATGAGAAAGCGAAAAGTGAATTTCCTTTTTGTTTGATGATTTTGGATCTGGGTAGTGGTGATATTGGATGGGGAGAATTTTTGATTCGTGAGAATCTAGATCTCACGATTTCTCCCTCGATAGAGATTGCTCACGGTACCGCTGTAGGTTTGCGGTACCTAGTGTCTCTGGTCCGGGTTCCATCCTATTCATGGAACTGTACAGGTGCCGTCGTTCCTTTGGGCACCTGTAGCATTCCATTAATACTTATTCACTTTTCGTACTTGATCATTAATAAGTTTATTCTTTTTTTCCTCTCACTTCATTCACCTGGGGACTGTTTTGTCTTTTCTAGATTGTCTTGTTTTTACTTGTCATAATTGTCCACTTCTATTTTTATTACTTATGTTAACTTTATTACTTATACTAACTGTAACTACAATCGTATGTCTCTATCTTCTTACCACTCAGATAGTCTACAGTAGTCATAACCGTCAGTGAGTGACTTAAGTTATAACTTAAGTCACTCTACTCGTGTGTGGGGGGGGCCTTTAGGCCCCGGGTTTGACCGTGGTAGGCTCTCTGCTCCAACTCTCGGGGCGCGACGCCCGGAGCCTGCGGAGAGCCTTCTTCGGTAAGACCCAAGACTGTACGTTTCGCGGGATAGGTACGTTCTCAACCGTATTTCAATTCATTCTCTCTCGGTAACCTTTCTCAATCTTTTATGAGTATCTCACGAGGATTTACCGTTTCTTTAGTTGATTAGCTGCATTTCAATTCTAAGTACATATCGCTCTTCCTTCAAGATTTAGGTATGTCTCCTTTCTATCTCTCTCTCTCGCTAATTTCCTCTTCCCCACTTCCTACATCTCATTTGTTTCTGGTATCTTGCTTCCTGTTTTCCGATTTGTCACGTTTCATTTGGTCAGTTCCGGTTTTGTTTCGACGTCTTCACCCTTCAGCCTTAACAAGTTCCATATTCTCTTTGCATCTTCTATGTCTTTTGTTGTGTATTTCCTCAAATAAAGCTCATATGCTTTCGATTCCCACCTACCAAATCGGATTACGTCTTCTAAAGGTTGTGAGTCATTCCACTTAAAGGTTGCTCCTCCTACTCTGAATGAATGTCCTGAAAGCTGACTATTTGCATCATACTTCCTCCAAACCTTCCTATAGATCGATATTGCTGCCGATTTTGACAAGGTTACGAGGTTACCTTTTTCATAATACGAGAATAATGGTAGGTGGATTGATGGCAAGGTCGATTCTTCTATTGTTCGACGGATTGCTTCACAAGGGCAAAGTAGGGAAGGGATTTTATCTAGGTGTAGTATTTGCGTTTCTCCTGGTTTTGCGGTTTTTGCATTATACAGGGCTATCTTGATGTAAGTACCATGTGAAATGATGTCCTTGAAAGAGACTAATCTTCTACCCTTCCTGTCTGATACCAGTTCACCTAATTGCGCCATCCCCCAGAATGCGACTAATGCTACTGTAAGTGCAATTCGTTCTTTTTGGTCCCCTTTTGACAATTATTTTGCTAGTTCTGCTAAGTGGCGTAATTTGACTGGTTGTTTCGGTTGTCTCTGCGTTTGTTTCTTTTCCGCGTCTGCTACACTAGAAGCTTTCAATAATAACTTTACGGTTTTATCGTTTTCATTGGGAAAAGGTAAATTGTGGAAAAGATGCCATGATCGTATTCCCGTGATATATTTAGTAAGTGTCTTCGCCGCTATTTTGTGTTCTTCATTATTTCCATCAAGTTTATTCTCTTCACTGAAATCGATGTTATTCTGCCTTCCTGCCCAAATGATGAATTCCCATAGCAGCTGTTGGTTTAATGGTAATAGTTGGTTGCGTTGTATTTTCCGATGGGTACCGAATTTCTCAAGCTTCGACATCGCCGTACTGTAGTTCTCCAGTGTTGTTTTTGACCAACTTCCGCTTAATAGCCTCACCTTTATCACATCACTAGCCAATTAGGCGGCGGGCGCCGCCCTGGTCCTAATTTTTTCCCTTGGCTGGTAATGATATCTAACATACTATTGTGTTTGAACCCAGCTCTACTACTTTTATATTACAGTCTCACTCAATGTTTGAAACAACCAGATTTTTCCCTTACTCTATCACCTTAGTATGTTTTCACTATGTGTGATACCTTTTTAGATTTTATTACATCCCTGGCTTAACTCACGCAATTGTTCTTAATTGTACATACTGATACAACTTTTTCCGCTTTTATCAGGACATTATTCAATTGCATATATCTCAATTTTATCACTTGATTTAAACACTCAAATTCCTAGGTGAATCTGACTTGTAAACAATAAAACATGTTTCAACTAATTAAATACTGACTCTGGCTTCATTTAGGTTATTGGTAATTAGAGGCCAATCCCTCATCACTATGGTTCTCTAACAGATAATTAATTGTACAAAACA